TACCAGTCTTGATGGCGTCACATACAGAGTAGGTACAAATAAGGAGAGAATTGTTATAGTTCAGGTCATTGCTAGAAGTCTAGTATCAGTTAGACCTATTACAGGCAATTATATAAATAGAAAGTTACTAGTATTTATTATTCACATGCAGCTATTTATATAGATTTACCGTCTACATGTTTATTTGTTCAATTTTATTTAATTCTAATTAAATAAATGTTTAATTTTATCTTTTCTCAGAGCCAGCACCTGTAAACGTCCGAGCGAAGTGCGACGCATGCGTTTTAAACCCGTGCGAGAACAACGGTCGTTGTGTACCGCTTCCGCGACGAAACTTCAAGTGCGTCTGTGTTCCCGGTTTCCACGGTGACACCTGTCATGACGTTGTGGATGCGTGTTACGGTGATCCATGTTTAAATGGCGCCACGTGTAAGATCCTCGAGAAAGGGCGATTCAGGTACCAACGATGCTGCTGACGATTTGCCCCCTGCGAGCACTGTAAACTGATTTTTTTCTCTAGCTGCTACTGTATCAAAGGGTTCGAAGGCGATCGCTGCGAAACCAACATTGACGACTGCATCGGCAACCAGTGCCAAAACAATGCCACTTGCCTGGACCTGATCAATGACTACAAGTGCACGTGTCCCCCTGGATACACTGGTATGCTGTATTCTATTTCTGGTTATTTAAGCCGGAATCTATGCGTAATCGAGATAGTCGAAACGGTAGGTATGTAACTGTGACCCTCGATCTTGACTTCATTGCGTTTATTGCAATTTTTCACTCTTCACCTTCAGTTATCGAACACAACTAACCATTTTATACCATTCGCCATTTTTATGAAGTAGTGTAGCTTTCAGGAGTATAGAATTTCTTTCCATGGATGGTAGAGTGAGCCAGTCATACTCTGGTAGCAGACGTTTGCTAATTTCCCATCAACTTCTAGATTTAAGGCTATATATTTCTAGTGTAACAGCAACACGGGAATGCGGAATTTGGCACAGCACGTCACCGCCTTTCTGTCATGCCAGCAACCCACTCTTTATCAGAACAAACGTGCCATCACGCACTGAAAGCTAATTAGTCATCACATAACCACTCAAACGTTACTCGTTCTTGTATTTAGGATACCATTCTTTCATATAACTTATTAAGCGGGTTTATGATGTCCATTGTGAAGCTATCAGCCAGAAAAGCCATATTTCATAAACGCACTAAACGTACATTTTGCTAGTCGCTGCAGCAGCGTGTATTCTCCAGTTTTAGTTTCTGTACTTTCTGTAGTATCGCTTTTTCACGAAGTAGTATTCTATTAATCGATTTCAGTATGAGGTAATTCATTCGTTTTTTCGACTGCGTAGTTTATTTTTTTGTCATTCAACGGCGTAGTTTATTTGCTTCAGAAGTGCATTCGCCAATGCGTTATTTTAAGCATTTGTATTTGCTCTTCGCTACAAATGCTGATTTTTACTTAGTGGCCAGGCGAGTAAATGGTGATTGCAATCCCAGTACATGCATGTTAGTCATAGTAAAGGAAAAGTAAAGTTTGTAACCGTTTTTATTCGAGTCTTCCTTATGTTTTCGTTCTGGCGCCCTTTTTTCATGAAATGAATGGTAGGGTATTTTATCCATTCCCATGCCGTCAACCCCGAGTAACTTATTCTAGACACGAAGTCGACAGAAGCTAGGTGGCAAACAGTTTATAGTCTTCTGTTTCTTTTGTCTAGAATGTTAGTATCATTTATTAACCTTACAAGTTCTGTTCCCTCAGAACTGAAGGATAATTGTCATTCCGGTTCACTATCGCCAGGGCAGTTCGTCAAGGCAACGTATTCTCGCCTTTGTTATTCAACATTATGGCGGGACTATGTTACGCGGAAGAGCTTCGTCCCAGATTATAATGAGTGCTGACCGTAAGGGAGCAATTTAGGTCTAGATACCTAGCGGTACTCTGAACAGATCTTGATTACGCCAATGGCATCGTGCTTCTCTGCTTACTTCGTATGTGGCCTGTTGACACTCACCGAAAGCGTGTGCAGCACTGCTGTAGTAATGCTGCAGCATGTCAAGGCCTAGAAAACTATGATTATGTTTTTGAGGGCGCTCACCCTGACCGTCAGTCGAAAGATGCCATGGAATTGTGTTACATTGGACGAGGTGGACCATTTCAGGTATCCGGAACTGTGTTGACTAACGATTGCAACATTTATCCTTAAGTGAATCGGCGTATTCGACTGGCATGCTCGAATTATGTCAAGCGCTATCACGTATGGAAGGGTCGGATCATCAGAACGGATACAAAGACCACCGTTCTAAAAACGACTTAGGTTTCGAAACACCGCACCTGCTGTCCCGAGGCGTCACGAAGCTTGTTCTAGGCACCTCTCAACACACCTTTGTGTGAACTATATTCAAAGAGGAAAGCAGTACCAATTGAGAACCATTTTCATCGGAAATTTGAACTGACGAAGAATAAGGCTATATGATAGTCCTCTTCTGTTCCATGATCAGCAATTCTGTACCAGCTGCTGGCCTCTGGCATGGTTTCTTGAAGATTAGTTATGACACTGACCGATGGTCGTTGTGACGAATGATGTTGAGTAATAGCAGCTAACCTTCGTACCTCATCTCACGCTATAAGAATGTGTGCTGGATGTAGCACAGATATTTCCCGGTTTCCACTAGTACTAAGAATTTACACGACAAAAATCATACGAATCCACGTTGCTGCTGTCATAACGTCGCAAAGTGAAAACTATTCAAATTTTTGATTTGATTCTGTCAGATCTCATGACATGTCGTCAAGGCTAGCTATGCAGAAAGCAAAAGAGTGAAACAGCAGCAAGCCACGTCACCTTGCTTTCATATCACGCGTGCATTCTGAATGAAACTCTTCGCCTTAAAGTCATGATTTATAAATGCCTTTGAAGAACGACATCAAGGATGATCGAATTGCCGCATCTTTGCAACATTTGTAATGCTCTAATGTTTTATTGAATCAGTTGAAAATGCTAATTGCCTGATTGAACAATGTACGAAATGTAAAGATCAGTGTATCCTAGACCTCTAAAAAACAACTGCTGCACCTTGAGATTTACGTCAAAGAGATACTTGAGAATAAAACAAGACGAACTGCGCTGACGACTGTTTTATGTTCATCTGCATTCGTATTTGTTGGCTCTGATTTGCCAGATTTTTAATCATTGGTGTAAATGTTTATTTTAGAATGGGATTGTAGCAAATTGATCGATTATTGTTCAAAATCGTTGAATCCTTGTGAAAACGGTGCAACATGTGTTGCGGAGAAACACAGTTACAGGTAATTTTCATATTTTCTGATCTTCAAGACTCAGTTTCAAGAATTTCTGAAACGCATTTGACTTCTGTATTTTTATTTTAGTAAATTGCCACCTCAATAGTGCTAGACGTAGCAAAATTGACCGATGGTTGTCTTTGCTAGAACTACCATCGTTTGGTAAAACTACATTGCCTTTTCTCTCAAGGAAAACAGTGCTGCGTATGGCCGATATAGTTTCGCTGAAACTTGGGCAATTCTAGTAAAGATTACCATCTATCTCTTTCCTTCTGTCTAGAACAATTGAAGTCGAAATTTATTGAAGAATATGGGATTAAAATGAGTTTTCAAAAATCATTGCCAATTTTGCTGAAAACATGTTTCATGATTCTGTTCCTTGCGTAAAATGTTTTTAAATTTCAGGTGTTTATGTGCCCCCGGCTACTCTGGCGTTAACTGCACCGAGGACAATAACGATTGCTTGAATAACCTTTGCAAAAACGGGGCCACGTGCAAGGATGGAATTAACGGCTACTCGTGCTTATGCTCTCCTGGATTTAGTGGCATTTATTGTGAAATGCCTAGCATGGACAACGCATTATACCCGAAGACATCGCCGTGCCACCACCATGATTGTCGAAATGTAAGTAACTTATAGACAGGACTGTTTTATGATCCATGAAGCCAAGCCATACGCCGTTCTTATAAACCCCGCGAAATTTTTCTTCATATGAGTAAATGTAAACTGTGATTTCAAATAACTGTTCATAACGTTAACTTTAAATATACAGTGGCAATATTCGATTTAGAGAATGTTGTTCTTCAGCATGTAAAAGTATGTATCACATTATTATTACTATTCAGTTCGAAGTAAATAAATTATTGTTTCACATAATTTTTTTAATTTTTGTTTTCGAAGGAACACTGCTATGGTTTTTAAAGACTTCGTTTGAAAAACCTACTTCTTTTTCATGCCTCTAACCGTCACTTTCTTTATCTGTTATTATTACGACTATTTTATTTGACGTTTTCGATGCGCAGTACATGGTGCATCAGCCTGTCTCAAATTCATCATTCCAAAACTGTTTCGCTTTATTCTTGCTATATCCAAAACTAAAGCTTTTGACATTTTCCTTGTAGCATGCCCGTGACTTTCTTTCATCGGGAATTCTCCCTTATGCGTAAATGAACAGTGGCGTTGCTCTTGAGTTGATGCACCAGATTTTGGTGTTCCATGCTTATTTTCTGCATGATTTGTCTCATCCAGGGAACAAGCACATCAGTATTCTCGAGTGTCTTGTTCTGTTAATACATTGCGATGATCTGAGAGTGTAGTGTGTTCAAAAGACATGGTATATTGCCCGTTCTCAAGGACCATCGCTGGTTGTTATCGACGATGTGGTGCAGTTTCTGATATGAGATCTCAAGTGCCAGTTGTTTTTATATGATCATTGAAATGCAGTTTTTCCATTTGAAGTACTCAACAGCTTGTGACAGTACGTTCGACCAATTCTGATGTGATGCCGCACATGCTGCATTTCTTCATCGTCGTCAGCCTCTTGCGATGCCCTATGAGGTGATACTTTGCAGAACTCTTCTGTGTTCTTTCTTTTTCATCCAGCAAACTTCTTCAACTCATCCTGCCACCGATCTACAGATTTCCTGGAGGGCCGTTTACTCTGTCTTGGAACCCAATCCATTGTTTCCTGGACAAGCGATGATTGTCTCTTCTAGCAACGTTTCCCATCTACTGCCAGTTCTTCATTCGGGCGAAAATATTACAGACTGATGTAATGGCTCTTATCCATTCATTGGTTTTCTTATATTTTCTTGTTATTCCCAACATATTTCTTTACATACTATTTGCGTAGTCTGAAGTTTATGAATAGCTTTCAGATTTAGGGTCCACATTTCGCTCCGGTATGTTAGTTCTGGGAGCACCCGCTGATCGATAACTTTCTTTTTCGGTTACAAACGCAGTTTCCCGGATTAAAACGTTTTCAATCATCCAAACGAACTCCGTCATATTTTAACTTTTCTGTTGATTTTGCAGCATCTTTTCTTCTTTGTACAGATGAGCTGTTCCTCACAGATGTGGTTTTGCACTTGTTCAGGCCGTAGTTCACAGGTTGTGCTGTCACCTATTTGTTAAACATGATATGAGTATTTGGTAGATATATTTTTCGTCCTATTTGGATGCTGGCGTCGTTCAACTCTGGTATTTTTCTTTGGTTCGTTTAAGTTCTTCTGGTGACCTTGAGGGAATTCGAATGTGGTTAACAAACCAAGGTGGCTTTAATAATGCCCATTTTTGTTCATTCTCTGATTTTCTAAACGGAACGTCTAGAAAAGTCTTTTATGGCTGCGGTGAACAACTTCAACCATATTGCGTCTCTTTGTCAGACGCGATTTCAATTTTGAGCTTGTTTGTGCTTTCGTACATCTTGCATTTATCTGAGATGTTTTTTATGAGGTATTTCTTAGTTTTTGTTTTTGTTAAGCATCACCTGGTTTTGTTCGATTATGTCTGAATTAAGGACAGTGTAATGATGCCCATGTAGTGCTTTTTTACTTCATTTATCAAGTTTGAATATTTCAGATCGCATCTCTACCGTATATTCGCTTTGACATAGCTTTAGCAGCTGACGTCCTTTGTCTGTTTGTGCTATTCTTCTGCGCATCCTTGATATGAAACTGTGCTCTTAAAATCTTTTGCACAGATCAGCTGCACTTAGCAGGTCGCGGCCCCGCCCTCTAGGAAAATTTGTGATTTGGCAAATATTCTGAGCCAGTGATGTAGAGCGTCAGATGCCAGAAAGGGCTTATTCTCGAACATTTCAGTAATATTTCTTTGTGACGTATGTTATTGATGCTCACAGGTGTCACTGAAGGTCTTGATGTAGTGGCTGGTAGAGCACAGTAGCCGGGAATCATCCTATTGAGACGATCCATGCTTCTTGGCAGCTCTTCGACCACGAAGGTCTGCATTTCGTATCCAGATGAGTGATTGCACCAGATTTTGGAAGCACAGTGTTGTTTTCAACTGGGGTAACACCGAAGATTATGCCAACGGGAAGAAAGGTGGGCAGCTCTATGAAAGCCACCTTTGTCAGTGATAGTGCCATATTTCAGACCGTGTAGCCTGAGCAGTACGATGTATATGGAATGCTGTATGAAAGCGTTTTATACGTTTTACAACTTCTAGGGCTTTTGCTTCCAACCAGACAACGCTGTCGACTATCGCTGTCAGTGCATTCCTGGCTATGGTGGAGAAAAGTGCGACAAACTTTACTCAGTGACATTTGAAAACTTTGATAATTATGTCATATTGCGTCCCCTGGTCATGAGACCCACCGTCAATATTACGTTTACGATCATGACCGAACAGTCACGCGGTGTTGTACTGTACTACGGGGACGACGCTCATTTGGCCGTAGAGCTTTTCGAACGACGGGTCAAAATATCCTACTACGTTGGCAACTATCCGGCATCGATCATGTACTCGTTTACGGAAGGTGTGTCGTTATTAACTAATTTATTTTACGCCTGGCCCCTGTTTAACTTTTGGTGACATTTTAGTGAACGACGGCAGTCCGCATAAAATTCAGTTGTTGTCCACAGGTAAAAACCTGACAATGACCATTGACCATTGGAAACCAAGCACTATTTTGAACAATGGCATGATAGATTACATGGATGTACCGATGGATACACCGTTGTACGTCGGCGGATTGCCAAAGAAGCTTCACTCGAAAGTACTGAAACTCTACCACTTTCGAGACACCGCCAGTTTTCTTGGTACAATTTTATGTGCATTATATTAATAGAAAGAAGTTGATGAATATTTTGTACGCAAGCAGTCTGTGAAACGCATCAATTAGTGTTATTAATTTTTCTTTTGGTTCATCACTAGTCTTTTCATATAACTAACTGCTGTTCGATGATTTTCAGTAAGATTGGTTGAGCACCTGACTGAGACAGAAGAGGAAATGCAAATGAAGGGACTAGGAAAAATTAGGAATAGCAAGAAATTTGACTCTTGATTGCGGTTTTATGAAGGTATTTATTTCGGTAGATACATGCAGATGCATATTTCGTCCTCAGTATATCAATGCACACAGACGGTCCTTTTTACAGTGTTCGTTACTATCAAGAAATCAATGAATCTGTAGGATTTAACGGTTTCTTTTTGAATATAGGCCACTTGGCCAACTACATGTTAGGTGAAATGGTTGACCGTAGGTGAGTCAGCTAAAACGATTGAAATCGTTTCCTTCCAGGCGCATCGTCATCTGTAATCAACGGTGGAACGCTGACACGGGGAAACAGCTGACTCACCTCTGGCTTTTACCAGCTCGACTCCTCCACAAGCATGAAAATTTGACGAACGGCCACAGAGGCATATGATGAAAAAGAATAGCTAGAATATGACACTCAAAAGAATATCCGTTTTCTGATTCATATTTCTCGAGTTCGATTGCTGTAAAGTCTCAAATGATAAACGTCTGTCTTATTGTTCAGTGTGTGTGTGTGTATGTGTGTGTTAAGGCTACCGCATATCCTTAGATATGCAGGAGACAAATCAGTTCCAGGCGTAAGTTTATTAATAGACCAACAAAATCGTCATATTATCAACCTGGACTAACCGCAGTGCAGTTTCACTCCACACCGGTAATTAATTTCTTCCTAAGCCAGTAGAAAAATTTGTGATGAATGAATTTTCCTATCTGTGCATGGCTGTGATGTATGTTGAAGCTAGAAGTTTAGACATCACGTTTATAAGTTATTACAGTGCCAGTTGCTTTGTTGTACTATACTCTCTCATGATGCTGTTTTCTTTAGGTTGCATCAAGGACCTGTACATTAACTCGAAAATTTACGACTTTCAGACCAGCGAGTCGCCGCTGAAAATTGTTCCCGGCTGCGCCGCATTCGAAGACCCATGCCGAAAGAACAAATGCACGGAAAATGGCGAATGTAAACCCGTGCTCTCCTCCTTGTCTTACGTGTGCGAATGTCACAGCGGCTACAAGGGGCAATATTGCGATGAAAGTAGGTCCGCCCATAAAAGCGACTTGGTAGTTTATTCGGGCCTATAATACAGTAATGTGTGATAAGGCCTGTTATTTTATTACTGTTGGAGATGTGAGATAATGTTGAAAATAGGTATATACCATTGTTTTTGATGTGTAATCGAAAACTCGTTTAGGAATAAAAAAGTGTGTTAAGAAGAGGTACCGCGAGCACCTCTCGGAGAATGGCTGCGTTTCCAAGAAGCCGATCAAGAATGCCAAGTGCGACGGCTACTGTGGAATAAATTGTACTTGCCGGGCAAGCAAAATGCGCAGCAGAAAAATAGGCTTGATTTGTGCGGATAAATCCAAAAAATACAAGACTGTGAACATTATAAGAAAGTGTTCTTGTTCTGACGAGCTGTAGATGTACAAAGTGCAAATGACTTTTTTTCTGATGCTAGTCATCGCTGTCACTCTAGTGTAAATACGTTACAAAAAGCTGCCAATTATTATATGTATATATAAACGCGTGCATTTTGCTTTGTATGAATTTGTTTGTGAGCCCTAAATCGAGCAAAAGTGAATTTTAATATACGCGTTTTGGAGTCCCATTGGCTGTGCACATTACTTCATGACTGGTCATTTAATGGTTTGCAGCACGCAAGGCTGTAACAATTTTTCATTCAATCTAATCTGATGTTTCGATGGGTTTAGCATTTGTCATCGTTGGGATCATTCCATTAACCGTGGTTTCAGACCATCTATCTGTTTCCAATCATTGCGAGAGTAGCTTTACCGGATTTGAAAGGAGTGGTACCAGTTCTTTGCTTTTAGTCGCATGTAGTTACTTATTAACCAGGCATCAGAGTGCAGTGCATGGATGCAAAATATCACCAATGTTTTGGGCCAAACAAGTTTTTAATGTATCGGACCAAACAAATTTCTTACTTCATTTATATAATGCTCGAATAGTACCGAGTCTGTACCTTCACTCTACATTAATTATCAGGGTATGCGCCATTGGAACTTCTCATCTTATTATCTTGTCGAAGCGCTGCAAAAGCAAGCGAGTATTGCTACTATATCAGAGAATGCAGAAAATAAAACTTAAATTCTTACAAAATAAAGAGTTAATGCTAATTTTCTTACTTCTCAGTGTCCGAAAGGGCAGCTTAATTTTGCGCTTAATTTTAAACCTGTTTTCTCTTAAGCCTAGTATCACAAACCGACTGAATCAGTTTTAAATTTAAAACGATGGATCATTCAAACTAGAAGGCAGGGAGACTTTCGTGTAAACGGAGTATAAAACCAAAGCTGTCTTCGAAATTTCCCCACTTGTTAATATTTTATTTACAGTTGTTTCCATAATTCATATCTCATTTTCATAACCCTGTGTGTGGCCTGCAGGAGTCATGTGCTATTTTTCATACTCCGACGTACAACGATTTTGATATTTATGCTGTTTTATGTTCGAAGTACGCGCTATTGAAATATAGTCTGTAAAAAGCGCAAAATAGCACAAGTAAACAGTGTAATGCGAGGCGCATCTGAAATATGGCGTTCACAATTTCATGGAGCAATGGCTTTCTTTAGTCGAACCTCCACCATTCAACCAAGAGCAAGGGGCACTGCGATACACCGTGAAATCTGATCTTTCAGAAGTCTACATTATTTTTCACACTCAGGCATACGAATATATTTTAGTCATGATCAATTGCTCCAAACTTACTCTAGATTTTCTGTAGGCTGCTGAATGTTAATAAAGCAACCAAAAACTTCCGATTTCGTAATTTAAATGGGAAAGGGGGGGCTATTTAAATGTTGAAGGCTTAGTTGGAATTGCTCTAATAGACTGATAGAGATTTGGATCAGTTTAAGTTACATGCATTTGCTTGTAAATATTATGTTCATGGCTCTGTTGGTATTTTAGGGACAACAGAACGATGCCGTAAAGGA